TCCACCCTCCTGCAAACTTTCGTAGTAGGTTCTGTGCGCTAACAAACTTACGTGAATCCTTCGGTATTTACGGTAAATCGGCTGCTGTTGTATAGAGCGCATTCGAAGGAAATTTGCGTCTTTAAGTCCTTAAATAGGATTTTCAAACTCGAACTTTGCTGGATCTTAGAATATTTGGACCGTGTATCTTTACTACCTCGTTCCTGTTCCCAAAATATGGAAGGAGAGAATTTAATATTAAATTCTCGAATTGTTACATATAATTGTTGCACGTGTCATCAGATTGTTTAACTGTCATACGTCAGTTAATTGTATTTTGAATTCTTTCAAGTTCCCGAACATACACATTTCAAAGAAATTTTTTTCTTACGACTTTCTCAGAGAGATTTTTATTCCACTCTCAGCTCATAATTCTTCTTCAGCTAATATTTGCACTCATACGTTTAAACGTCTTGTGCTATCCATTATTACTTCTCGTAATAATGCCGATCTATAACTCTATAACGTCAGCTTTTATCCAACTCTGTTTCTCTCTCTCTCTCTCTCTTTCTCGAAGGGTCACTCGGGAAGCTCCTAGGTGGTCTTCCGACGTTCTGTTTCCGGTAGAAACGACTATGGCGCAACAAACAATCCACGGGTTATTTGTCTTCGTTCAGTATACCGAGGAAAGCGAGTTGGAAGAAAAGTAGGAAAGAGACGAGGGAAGTTAAGAGGGATGCGGAAACATGGGAGGGCTGAGAGGGTTATGAAGAGAATTCGCGAACGCAGCCGCAGCTGCGTCGCGCTTTCGAAAAAGCTCGTGCCGAGGATTTCGTTTAGTCTGACGAAGAGATGCGGAATTTTGCCTCCGTCCTGAGGGAATTTTTCATTTAGCCCGCATTATTTATACGCACGCTTTGGCGACCTCCCAGAATTCTCCGCGAATGTTTCATACGGAAATTAACGTACAGCCTCTGCATCTTCCTGAAAATGAAACCGCTTGTCTTAAGGATTCCGTTGAATGTTGCATCGTGAAACTAGTTTACGCTCGAAAGAGTAACTGCTATTCAGTTTCAGAATTTATTCTAATCCAAAAATTATTTAGATGCAAAGAGAAAGAGTTTCTCGACCGAAAAGTAAACCCGTACCTAGATCTTTATTCTAAATTGAAAAACATAATCTGAAATTCCACTTTATACACAACTATTATGCGACAAATGCGATTTCATTAATAAAGGCAGTCATTAATCTAGATTGATTATATACTAAATTACTTTCAAAAATTATGATCTTTTGCTCGAATAAATTGGCACGTGTCTATCAAATTTAAATACTTAATATCTTGTTCATTAATTCTTAATTACAACTTTACATAATTTATATAACATTTACCGAGACAAAGGAAATTTTACGAGAATTAAGACTGTAATTATATATATATATATGTATAGCGAAGCGCGCGCGCAAAGCGAGTCCGATGGCGAGACATAGACGGAATTTCCGATAAATCGCCGGGAGGCAGCCTGCATTTATTAAGGCAGGTGCATCTGTATACAAGCTCGCTGGGAGCGTACTGGCGATTCACCTTCGATCGATCGTGGGGAGGGGGGG